AATTTATTACTTTTTACTTTTTCCACTCTTGTCCGTCGAAGCCCTAGTACTTAGATAATGGTATTATTCGTGTATGTTGTGCAGCCAGTGTTGTGTATTTTTACCGGGAAAACTTGTAAATTTCATAACCAATGCACATAGTTGCATTACCAACTACAGTACTGTAATAACTTAATTAGTCTGTTATTAATATAGTACATAAATAATATATATTATGCAAATATATTAAACAAGAACTCTCCGGTGTTAGTTTTTATCTAAAATGACAGCTTATATTTTGGTTACTATAAATTATAATAATAATATCCAATCAAACATAGTAAAACCACGCTCTTATATAATGACTTAACAGATATTACCAAAATAATGGCCTTAGGTATACTATAAATATAATTATTTTTATTAAGCCCCGGGATACTACCCTACGTGTATCAATTGAATTACCAAACACAGTACTGTAATAATTTAATCAATCTGTTATTAATATATTATATAAAAAATATGTATCATGTAATTATATATAAACGAAAAAAATTGTATTTTTTATAATATCTTTAATTTATGGTAAGCGTGCAACAAACACAAATATGCTTATAATTGGAATTTGGTTTAAACGACTGGATTTGAAGTCGAAGCTTCTGTCATTATAACATCTGTTTCGTTGTTCTTCTGAAAATCAAAATCCTGTCTCAATTTCCGTCATAATGATTGTAAAAAAAAATATATATAGTATTTCTTACCCCACGATCGTCTACAATTACTTGAGCGGGAGCTTCAAAATATAAAATACGGAAATCCTAAAACATAAAATAGTTATTAAAAGTTAAAAGACACTCTTAGCTTATTTCACTCACATTGCCTGCTGAGTTATAAACGCCAGTAATACGAATGTAGAGTATCGGTCTGGGTGTAAATTTCAACACCTGCCAAGATTGTTTCAGCTCTTTAGATTCGTGTGCAATCCATTTCCAATCCTGATTATCGATAGAATCCTCAACAGTGTACTTGTAGAATTGGTCATTACCGCCCCAAAGCAGAAACCTGTCAATTATGGCAATAATAATACTGTCTTAGTAAAATAATGAAAAAATTCATGAATAACAGATAATTAGGCCAAAATAAACTTTTGTTTTCTTGTAAATAACCGAATGATAAAAAACTCATATTTAAATGATAAACAAATATAAACATTAGAGTACAACATAAAAAAACAACAAATTAAACCCTATTTTCGTTAATGATATCCATTAACATTTTACATATGTGAATTAGTTTAATAAACTGCACATCAATTTTCAATTACAGAAAAAAAAGAACATTTTTATATTTATAATTCAATTTAGAAAAAATGCTATACAAATGGAGGGTATAAGTGTTACAACATCATAAGAACTAAATTTGGATAAAGGATCTAATCGAAAAGATAAATCTTTTACTTAAGAGTGCTTAAGAATGATAAATAGTATTTTGTACAATTTGGAGACTTAAGCTCTGACAAGGAAATAAGAAAAAAGACTTATAAGGAATTATTTATAGACCGTGTATGAGTTAAAATTGTATTAGAACGATTGAAAATGATAAAAAAAGAAATTTGAAAAGAAGACTTATTGCTCTAAAAATACAAGATATTTATACAATTACCTCATTGAACTAAGTATATATGGTTGTGCAAGATGAATCACTATACAACCAGATTGCAAATAATGATATGTATACATGTTAAAACGATCAATCTTATTACCAACACGATCATAGTGATCATCAACTAATACGTTTAACATCGACTGACTCCATCAAATTATGTTCTCCCTTGATTACAAATGCATACCTATAACTTGATGCGACATTATACCCGTACTTAGGAACTAAGGAATCAATTAGACAAATACATAAATATATATGTTAAATTTTTTTAATTAAAAACTGAGTTACTTTATTGGTTTTCTTACCGACTAATCCATTTTTTATTTCCACCTCGTGCATTTCTTCTGTATTGTACTTGACTTGCGAAAATTCAAAAGTTGCTTTAGCAGTACTTCTGGTTCCAACAATGTGTATGTACCGAACTATGCGAGGTTTAATCCACAAATATTGAGCTGATCGACAATTATAATTTGAATGATCTATAACACGGAACCAAACGTTCCGATCCATTGAAACTTCAATGTAATAAGAGTAATACCTAAAGTATTAAATAATGCAATTAACTTGTAGAGTGATTCGTAAAAAAGAATAGAAGATTAAATATTAGGACCAGAGTTGTGTAAAAAGTTGTTGAATAATAAATATAAGTTATAAACAATTAATTCCTAATAAACAATAAGAATAGACAATCATTTTTCAACCACTGATAATTTTTTTTTCGCTTAACTTATAATAAAAATAAATTCATAACACAAAACATTTTTATAAGTAAATAAAATTAATCATAAATCATCGTCACGAATCTTTCAAACAATTTTTCAAACCATATTTTTTCATACTAATGGTCATTCAATTAGAGTTATTTATAAGTTGAAAACATACCTTTGATCATACGGCGGAAATCCACCCGTTAACCATATTACAATATAGTTTATAAATGATGGATCACGCAAGGTTATCGTAGTACTGCCGTTAATGCCATTGATAACCGGAGTATTCGAAGGCTGCCGAATAAAGTCCCATTGAGAAGGCCGATGAATAAGATCTACATTGGGTTCTAAAAAAAGAAATAACTAGAACCCACATAATTTGCGAAACACAAATTGATGTGTACAGCAAGCATACTTAGCTGGCCTCGATATTGAAGCTTATCTGGTGACGAGGTGTTTCTGAATATTGTGTTATGTAAACTTTTAGTCGTTTTAACCAGCGGTAATTGCCTAACCTCAGCCAGTTCTTTAATACTCATTAACGGATATCTGATCGCAGATAAAACTTTCATTTCAGTATTATGATCAAGGATGTTTTGGTGTATTTTAATCCAGCGACAAACTGCGTGGAATATATATAATTCATTACAATAAAATGAGTCACGAATGAGAATATCTTGAAGAACTTCCTAAAAATAATAATTATTTTTAAACTTTTCTCCTAACACGAGCAATATAATGTTTTTATTTAAAACTATGCCATTACGGGTGACAAAGTTAGAAAGTCTTCAGATTGCAATAATTGTGAGGCGTGGTTATCGATAAAATGAAGTGATTCGACTTCTAGGTCATTGTATTTATAAGTTCGAGTCATAGCTAAGAACGACCATGCATTTTCAACGTCAATAGTACTTTTTAAATACTCGTGAAGTGAAAGTTTTAAGTTTAAAATACCATAATAATCCGAAATCCTAAGTAATTCAAAAACTTCTCCACCCTAACAAAAAAAAAAAATAAAAAAAGTGGTTAATCTTTCTGTCAAACGATCACACATTCTTAATAAAAATTATATTTATGCCGTTTATATACGATAAAGCTACGTTGAATATTCATTACCTCTAGATCACCTAAATTTATTTGACCAGTATAAATATATTTAAGAAGTAATTCATATGAGGTTATAGATGCATCAATTAGATTGACCTTAGATTTATGGGCTTCTTGATAATCTCCAGAAAAAAACCTCCTAAAAATAATACACAATATTATTACAAATAATATAATATTATATGTTAAACATTTTGTAAACTACAGTTTTTTAAAGTCTAATTAAACGGGCTTCTAAAAATAGATGATATATCTAATTCTTACTAAAAATTCTCGTTAAGAATTGGTAAAACAGATAAATTTGAAATGACAATATTATTATGAAGTGTTAATATTATATATACAAGCATTTTACTATGAAGTAAAATGATAAAAATAGAAACCTTTTCAGAGATAATTGTACTGATTGATAATTATAATAGGTTTGAGACGAAAAAACATTTATTTTGAGTATTTTTTATATTAAGTCACAACGAACCAGGAAGTCCAATTCGTTGTCATGAAAATTCTACGGGGAGGGCCGATAATCAGGTTTTACGTGAAATTACCCATATACAGGTAACCAAATATTTAATTTATGCCTAACTCTCAGACTTAATGTTTAAAAACTACAGCTACAAAAAAAACAAGTAGTTATGTTATAATAAAAGTTAAATACATACCTAAAATATTCGCTGTGTGAGGCTAGTATAATACGATGGGCGGGCAATCGTTCTTCACCCACAAATAAAACAACATCTGAACATCTGAAATATGCATTCAAATTATTTAACAATACACATACGTGTATGTTTTAACCTTATTTAATATAGAAAATAAGAGCACTAAATAATTTTGGGTAAAAAGATTATATAAAATAGAAAGGGGGAAGAAGGTAAACCTATCTATATTGACAAATTAGTAAAAAAAATATAAATAGTAGCTTCTTTATTAGCATTTTAAGTTCACAATGATACAGGCATATCATATTTTAGCATTCCATGTACAACCTACTTTTAAACCAGATTAGAATTATTACACCAAAATTGGCAAAACGGGACACACAATTATGGCTTACTTTTACAATATTATTTTAAGTATAACACTTTATATTGCTAACAGAGCAGAAAACATTTCGGGCTATGGAATTAAAAAACTGTATACAAGATTAGCTTGATAAATTGTGAAAATAATAAAGTAAATAGGTAAAAATTCAATACCACATACATGTCGCTTAGATGGAGGTTTCTTATGAATTCAACCAAGACATCAGTGTGGTCGATATGCTCGTTACGGTGATCTGAGGAAAGCGTAGATAGAACAGATCAAAACAGAAGACTTTTTAGATTAATTTGTATGATTTTTTAATTTGGGTTGCATCCACCCGCCAGAGTTCTTATTTTTCAACTTGTTGTATAATTTCTTTTAATTTAAATAATTTAGTTATTATAGTTTTTTCGACAGTAATATAATGGTTTTATAATTGTTAAAGTTGTTAACGGCGCTAGCGATTAGTATAAAATAAATCAATTAAAATAAATCCTTTATTAAGGGGTTGTTAAAATCTTTCTTTTTTTTTAAATACTTGAATTGGGAGGGATTGTTGATTAAATTTTTGAAACACATTAAGTAACAATAACTAAAAATAGGTATTAAAATATATTCAATTGTTTATCTAGTAAATTTATAGCTCTACTAACTTTTAAAACTTAAATTGTGACGTACATAATATTTTAAAAAATGTCCATCTGCATATTCTAAGAAATTTTAAATTCTTTATGATTTAATAAAATATAATTGAAACAAACGTTTTCATCCTCCTATTTTCTATCCCTAAGGAAATATGCTTAAAGATAAGTCACACAGAATAATACACATAGTTGTTCAACCTGAAATTTTGGTGAATAGTAAAGTGACAGCCTAAATTTCTAGTTGAAAAAACTAAGTAAATAGTTTAGTTGAGCCAATAAAATTTTTAGTTTAAGCAATTATATAAGTTCGCCCAACTAAATGTTTAGTAAGGCCGACTATTTATTTAGTTTTTCTAAACTAGAAATAAATTGTGTCCCTATAATAACCTTAATTTTAGTTACACCAACTTTGTATTTTTTTCGTACTTTTTAAATACTCGTGCAGTGGAAGATTTAAGTTTAAAATGTCAAAATAATCCGAAGTTTTAAGTAATTCGAAAACTTCTCCACTCTAAAAAAAATAATAAAAAAAGTGTTTAATCTTTCTTCCTTAAAATGTTCTCAACAAATATATAATTTAACAGAACTAACACATACTACCATCCAAACAATCACACAAACTTAATAAACGGTTAAGCTACGTCGATTATTCTTTACCTTTAGATCACTTAAATTTATTCGACCAGTATAAATATATTTATGAAGTATTTCAAATGATTTTACTGGTGCAGCATTAAGATTGACTTCAGATTTATGGGATTCTTCATCATCTTCAAAAAAAACCCTCCTGAAAATAATACACATTACTATAACCAACAACATATTATATGTTATACATTCTGTAAAGCGCAGTCTGTAAAAGTCTAATTAACGGACTTCAAAAAAGAGATCATATATCTAAAACTTACTAAAAATTCTTGTTAAGAATTGGTAAAACAGATAAATTTGAAATGACAATATTATTAAGAAGTATTAATAATATATATACAAAAATTTTATAATGAAGTAAAACGATACTAATAGAACTCTTTTCACGGGTAAGCGAGATAATTGCACTGATTGATAATTATACTATTTTTGGGACGATGAAAACATTTGTTAGGAATATTTATTTTTAAGTTTTAAAAAGTCCTTAGACATATTATGTTTTGTACCGAAATATTAAAGACAGCAGCAACGTTTAAAATAAGTTAAAAGATTTAAAAAATATAGGTAAGACCCCTATATCAGAGATAATTGTACTGATTGATAATTATATTAGGTTTAAGACGATAAAAACATTTAGTTTGAGTATTTTTTATATTAAGTCACAACGAACCAGGGAGTCCAATTCATTGTCATGAAAATTCCATCGGGAGTGCCGATGAACAGGTCTTACGTGAAATTCCCCATATACAGGTAAACAAATATTTAATTTATGCCTAACTTTCAGACTTGTTGTTTGAAATCTACAGCAAAAAAAACAAGTAGTTATGTCTTAATAAAAGTTAAATACCTACCTAAAATATTCGCTGCGTGAGGCTAGTATAATACGATGGGCGGGCAATCGTTCTTTACCTACAACTAAAACAACATCTGAACATCTGAAATATGCAATCGCATTATTTAACAATACACATACTAATATAAGATGTAACAATAAATTATACATTATGTAACAAAGTATTCTAACAATTAATGTTTATGTTTTAACCTTACCTTAGTCCCTAGTTTAAAATGGAAAATAAGAGCATTGAATCATTTTGAGTTGGAAGATTATAAAAATTGAACGGGGGAAGAAGGTAAACCTATTTTTATTGACAAATCAGTCTACATTTTTTAAACTTATAGCTTCTTTATTAGAATTATTAGATCGCAATGAAATTATAAAGTCATATCATATTTTGGCATTCTGTATACTACCTACTTTAAATTAAATTAGATTATTATTAAAAAGTATTATTACACCAAAATTGGCAAAACGGGACAAACAATAACGGCTTACTTTTACCATATTATTCAAAGTATAACACTTTATATTGCTCACAGAGTAGAAAACATTTCGGGATATGGTATTAAAAAACTGCATACAAGGTAAGCTTGATAAATTAAGTAAATAAAGTTAATAGGTACACATTTAATACCACATACGTGTTGCTTAGATAGAGGTTTCTTATGTATTCAATCAAGAATTCAGTGTGGTCGATAAGCTCGTTACTGTGATTTGAGGGAGGCATAGGTGGCGTCCCATAACCAGAATTACCTAGAATAGATCAAAACAGTGGACTTTTTAGATTAATTTGTATGATTTATTAATTTTGGTTGCATCCACCCTCCAGAATTCTTATTTTCAATTTTTTGTTTATTTTCACATTTTAAATAATTTAATTATTATAGTTTTTTTGACAGTAATAGAATGGTTTTATAATTGTTAAAACTGTTAACGGCGCTAGCGTTTTTTTTTTGCTTTACACGCCTTGCAGGCGTTTCGCAGCTTCTACTAAGACTCTCCAACGATTCCTGTCATCGGCCTCCTCCATTACTACTGTTTGATCCGTTTTTTTTAGATCATTCTTTACACGGTCCATTCACCGCTGGCGCGGTCTTCCTCGCGGTCTCTTCCCAGATGGATTATTGGTTAAAACTTTATTGATCAGATTCTGCTTCGCCCTCCAAACATGCCCAGCCCATTCTAATCTTTTGGATATTAGAAAACTTTGAATGTTTGGTTTGTTGAACAGTCTTTCTATGTCTGTGTTTTTCCTCCGCTCTTACTCCCCATTATTCGGGTTTCGTATAGGTCCATATATTCTTCTCAGAATCTTTCCCTCGAACCTCAACAGTTTTCCTACGTCACCCTTTGTTGTTGACCATGTCCCACATCCATACATGATGACTGGATGGAGATAAGTAGTATAAAGTTTTATCTTTGATTCTTTTGATAAAAGTCTTGATTTGAACATCTTATTCATGGCCAAATAACCTCGATTTGCTGCCGCTAATCTCAAATTTATTTCATTGTGCATATTATTGTTTGCATTTATATTGACTCCCAGGTATTTAATGTTATCCACCTGCTCAAAAGTGTATTGACCTATATTGAGATTTTGTTTATTTATTAAACGCCTAGTCATTATCATATACTTCGTTTTATCTTTATTGATTTTCAGTCCTATTCTTTGGCTAGCTTCTATTAGCTTAAATGTACTTGAGATTCTCCCAGGATAACAATATCATCGGCATATGCTAGTAGAGTCCTGTTCCCAACTAGTTCCATGGACCTGTTATTATTCATAGCTCTTATTATTGTTCTAGTGCCAAATTAAATAATACTGGAGACAGTGCGTCTCCTTGTCTTTACCCTGTTTGAACTTCAAAACTTTGGACATTTCTCCCATATAACGTACTTGGCACATCGTATTTTCATTGCAGTTTTTGATTAATCTTGCAAGTTTTGAGGGATTCCCAAATTTATAAGTATCGTCCAAAGTAGATCACTGTTTATACAGTCATAAGCCCGCTTAAAGTCAATAAATATCAAGTGTAGACCTTTATCAAACTCATAAAATTTTTCCATAACTTGTCGTAGTGTAAAAATATGGTCACTTGTCGATTTCCCCTTCACAAATCCACACTGATAATTATCTGACACTGACAATTACCTATTATGTCTACCGTATAAATTTCAAGCCTATGCAAAATGGCAAAAGATAGTATTTTGTAGATGAAGTCTAAAAGGCTGATTCCTCTGTTGTTTTCTACACTTGATGGGTCACCCTTTTTTAAAATTGGACATATGATGGCCATTTTCCAATCATTCTCAATCCGTTCACTCCTCCACACTTCTGCAATGAAGCATTGTATAGTTTTTAGAATGTCTTTTCCTCCTATCTTTAAGTGTTCTGAATTAATGTTATCTTCGCCTGGTGTTTTATTATTTTTTAATGTATTCACAATTTGTTCTATTTCTTCCAGGTTCGGTTCCGGCATTTCAGGTTCTACGGTGACTCTTATTACTTGTTCATAAGGCAGGTCGTTATTGTATTGATTATCATTATTGTTATTCAGTAGTCTCTCAAAGTAATTTCTGAAGCTATTGACTATCTGCCCCGGATCCGATAATAAATTATTATCGTCATCCTTCATTATTGAAGCACGCGCCTTAAATCCTTCTTTAATTGATGTGCATTTTTCGAAAAACATTATTGGGTTCTTTCTGTATGTTTCCATCTCTTCTAGAGCTTTCTTTTCTGAGAGTCGTTTTTGTTGTCTGATTATTTTATTGGTCAATGTTCTTGCTCTTGTATAATTATCTATATTGGTTCTGGTGGGGTTTTGTAGCATTAGTTGTCTTGTTACTTGACGCTTGTCAACCGCTTCTTGGTAAACCATACTTTTTTTTGTCCCGTACTCTTCATTCTTAGGTTTTCTGCTGCTTTAGTCACAGATTTCTTTATTTTTGACCATGTAGATATTTTTTCTTTGTCTTGATTCTTGTCATAATTGTTAAGTGTCTGTGCTACTCTAGCTCTGTACGCCCTAATTTCATTAGAATTTTTTAGCTTGTCTTTATCTAATTTTACAGCCTTATTCAGTTGTTTTTTATTCCTCCACTTTACGGATAGAATCAACACAAACCTCGAAATCACTAAATAGTAATCAGAGTCCCCGTCTGCACCTATGTGTGTTCTAACATTTTTTATACACGTTTGGTACCTCTTATCAATGACTACATGGTCAATTTGGGTTTTTGTTTTCCCATCTGGTAAGGTCCAAGTTTGCTTATGAATATTTTTTCTGAGGAAGTATGTGCTACTGATTATAAGACATTTGGCCGTCGATAAGTCTATTAGTTTCATGCCATTGTCATTTGATCAGTGGCGAGGCATGGGTGTTTAGATCGGGGAGACATTGAAAAAAAATGGTGTTACGTGACTTGACAGGGGGACTGCGCCCCCTTGGATCCCCTGTATATTTTATTTTATCTATACTGTAAAAAATAAATGTTTAAAAACTAATAAACTAAATGGCATAGGCATATTTGAAAACGTACAACACGACAATCGATACGACGTACATCGATAACGGATAACTGATACCGTCTACCAAAACAATAATAATATGAACGGCGGTCGGTGAGACATGTCTCATAGCGCAACGATAACCCCCGCCGTTTTCCATTTCCCCCTGCATACCACGCCCGGCAAAAGAGACAATTTTGAAATTGTCTCATTTATTTTTATACTAAATTTGGATAGACCCGGCGCACAGTGGGCAAAATAGCTGATTTAGGCGTACAAAAGTCTTTCTCAGAATTGTTCTCCATTTAATGCTAGCTGTTTTTTTTTTATAGTTGTGAAACCCAGAAACAGCATAGCTCCCGTTGAAAAGTTGTTCATAATTATTAATATGTGACGGTTTTAAGACATGGTTGAACAAATTTATGTTATCTCACATTGTTATCAGCGTCAATTCTGTTGCTTATCAGTTGTAATAATTATTACAAATACAACAATTTTGAAGTTATTTTTAAAATAGTTATATTTAAGGAGTAAAACTTTGATAGGGATGCTTTCAAGCAAGGTAAGTACGAATAAAAATTAAAGAAAATTTTCAAAAAATTATCTTGTTATTTTTGTTTCGTAACTTTAGAAGAAAAAAAGTATAAGAGGGGTGAAGAGTGGCGCAATGAGCATTTTATGGTTTTAAATGAAATTAAATTTAGTTTTTAAATACTACCATTTCTTTTGCATAAATTTGCCCATTAGTGTTTTATTCTCATTTTTCGTAAAATGAGATTAAATAGAGTCTTTAAAGTGGAGGCCCAAAAACAGGGGGGCTGTGTAATAAATTGAATGTTAAGAGTTATATAAGGCAAACATTTTAAGTAGACTATTTTGAAAACAAGTTTTGAACATAGAAAAATTGCAAGGAACCTTAAAACTCATGAATTTGACCTTACTATTCCAGTTCTGTGTGTGAGCAACATGAATCTGATACTCATTTTGTTTAAAAAGTAATTGACTAAATTTCAGCCAAATTGTTTTAATTTGTATTAAAATTTTCCAAATTTGGAACACCATTTATCCGGCAGGGATGACAGTTTTTTTTAATTCTTTCAGATTTTTTTATACAGTGGATACTTCCTCATATTTATTCAGTTTAAGTAAGAAATAACGTGTTCTGTGAGATTTTGTTAGTTTTGGTGAACTTAAAAAAATCATTTTTAAACAAAGTTAAATTTTGAAAATGATATTTAACTTAAAAATTGTTGTAGTTGTAATAATTATTACAACTGATAAGCAACAGAATTGACGCTGATAACAATGTGAGATAACATAAATTTGTTTAACCATGTCTTAAAACCGTCACATATTAATAATTATGAACAACTTTTCAACGGGAGCTATGCTGTTTCTGGGTTTCACAACTATCAAAAAAAAACAGCTAGCATTAAATGGAGAACAATTCTGAGAATGACTTTTGTACGCCTAAATCAGCTATTTTAACAAATAGTTTTTTTTTGTTATAGATCGTACACTATAGATAAGTATTATATTATTTAAGCTTAACGAAAATTGCCCGTAAAATTTTATCGAACAAATACAATTCTGAAACTTACCAAAAAAACTAGTGTAATATTATATTATTTAAAAAGTTTCCAAAAAGAAATAACAAAATTATTAATGAATATGTTTTTGATCTGGTACAAACAATAATTTGTATGGACAATTTTGCGTAGATAAAAAAAACGTTCCAATTTAAATGTTATTATTACTATTGAACATTCAAAAAAATAACTTAGTTAGCGATAAGTTCATTAATTATATATATAACCTGTCGCTTATACGTAGGTTGCTGTAATTAAATTATAAAGGAAGAAATGATTTATATATATTAATAAAATATATAATTTACCTGGAGTTGACCATAGAATTATAAACGCTACAAAATAAATCAGCATAGTGTATAATACGTGTTAATACAATACTAAATGTTGAATTCTTTAAAAAACAGTATAAAGAAAACCTTTTCAATAGAAATGAAACACCAATTTTAATATGTAGATTTATTACAATAGCGTACAATCTTTTTCTACACATAATGTGATGTGCTATAAACGATTCACTGTGTTTACTTAGGCAGTACGATGTTTTGCATAAACCACCTGTTATTATTGCTTGTTGTCTATCATTAAACACATATTCGATGCGGAGCAGCGATGTTATTGGTTTTACAACATTGTAAGCTTTTTCTGTGTTATTATACACTGATTTTTTTTTAATACTTGCCCAATTTCTTCGAGTTGCAATTGTAAAAATCACAAACTTTATCTAGTTTGTACTCGGGAGGTGGGGGGGGGGGGTTAAAGTTGAAAAAATCCCTTTCTTTACCCTTAAAACTTGACATTAAAAGCCAGTACAGCGGGCCAGGTTATAGTGGGGACAGAGCATAGTGGGGATGGGGAGGTTACAGGAATTACTACAACTGGATGTAATAAACTCACTTTTAAATAAATGCTTTCATGCGAATCAGTAGTTAGTATTTTCAAACCAGTAAAGTCCAAACCAAGAATATGGTTTTTTTATCGTGAAACACTCAACATCTCATTGTGTTAAATAAATAATTTTCCATACATTCTTATGTGTTTACCCTCCCCCCCCCCCTAAATTAGATTTTCTGTAGCAACTTTTCATTTTAAAATAGAAACACATACCTTGTTTTTTGATAAAGTTAAGTTCAAAAAACATTATTAACAGATTACAATTTTTTTTTAATCCGGGTTCGGCTAGATTTAAATAAAGAAATATATATTTTCAAATATGATATTTATCATTCTATTTGTTTGCTACTAGAAATACGATACAAACCGGGAGAAAAACCCGTTTAACCAATCAAAATCGCCAAAGGTCGAAACTAAAAAAAAAAAAAAATCTTATCATATCGAACGTAAATTTTGTATTAAATTATTATTGGTTTATTAATATAATCTGTGCGGTTATTTGTATAAAATTGTCGAATAAATCCGACAGAAAGTCGTCCACAGCCTTCTAAAAATAAATATCACCCGGGAAGTTAAACTCCCAAAAAAAAGAAACAGCTGACTGTAATAACCTTTTATAAGATTAGTTATTTAATTAGTTTTTTTTACATATATTTAAATATTATATTTGAGTATTAATAGCGCTTTGTTTGCGTTTAGGGAGAAGATCTGGTAGGTATGGAAGTTAACGAGGGTCCAACCGAAGAGGTCACGGAAGCAACAAGACAAGCTAAAGTAAGTCTAAAATACTAGAAATTGTCTACAGGCAAATTTTTACAAACCACAAAATGCTTATAAACTATTTCCTTAAAAGGGGTGGATACTTTTTCTTTATTTTGTTTTTTCAAGTGAAGTTTTTGTGGTTTAAGGTCTGAAAATTAGACCATAGGTAAATCTGAAATATGCAATTTTATCAATTTTATCAACTTTTTCTTTTTTTCATTTTTTCAGCATATAGTATCCTAGTCCGCATGGCAGAGGCAGAAGTAAGTACCATAAGTAAAAACTTGTCGTGTAATGTGAGATACGACCCTAGAATGTATGAAAAATTAATTGACTATACTGGAAAATTCATTATGGATAAGACAATCAATTTCTATTAAACTGTTTCGAATTTTGTAGTTTTTCATTTGGAGACTTTTGTTTATGTTATTTTACAATATGAGGTCGTATTCAAATTTGTATCTTTCTGATTTTTTTGCACCTAGTATACATAATAAAAATCGTTTTCCACTTTCGGCAATGTTGTATCGTAGTAATGTTGAAATTTGCAAAAAACGTTTTTATAGGATTTTTCACAAATGGAACAACCGTTTCAATTACAATTATTCCAGTAAAGATGTAATTATGGAATGTGCCATTAAGCATGTGGCACGGGTGCATTAGTAGCTATGACTAAACTATAAATCAAAACTTAACGTCGAAACACTATACCTATAATTATTATCCTAATTAAATTCACACTAGTATTCACAATTGGCTTTCGACTTTTTCGGACTCTTGATTAACGTGAGCAACTTTTTTTCTTTTCGATTGAGTCCACGATTTGACTTATGCGCGTTTTAAAACCACGTACCGACAGCATGTCTGTTAACATGCTTAATCAAGGACAAATCGGTTTGCTTTAATTCATATCAATTAAAAACATTTTCGTATTAGCGCGTACTGGTCGGTATGTCTTTTAATATCTCTGACCAAGTACCACTCGCTTTTTAAGCTTCGATGCAAAGCAGAAATGCTATTGATTTTACCGTGATGTGGGCTTGTTTTTGTGTCTGTATACACTGTAACTTTTTTAATACTGGGCCAATTCTTTGGGGGGTGGTCAAAATTTGAAAAAATTCATGTCTTTACAGTTAAAATTAGGAAAAACTAATTTGTAAAAAATATTTACTTGGTATGCCTCTCTTCGTCAATAGTCTCAAATTTTTATCATACCAATTTCCCAACCCCCCTCCACTGGGGTGCAATGTTTTTTTACTATTCGATTGAATTTTTAATTTTACATCAATCGGTTTGTTAATTATTACGTTGTTAAGCTATTAGTCTGGGGTAGACGAGCATTATATTTTCACATAAATTCATTATAATTTTAAATTCAAAATACTAGTGACACAGTTTACTAATCTACCATATAATAGTAAGTACAAAATGCATTTATGTTGCAAAGACGTTAATGATCCAATTTAATACTATTTTATTTAATACACAAATCTTTATAATATCATATCTTTTATTACACAATTTTTATACGTCCGAGTTCAGTAATATATACAGATTGACCTCTAAAACATTTCATTCATTTTTTTACTTATGAGTTCTTAAACACTCTTGAACTTATGCATCACGCCGCGTGTACAGTACGGAGCTCTAGTCAGTATATCTTATAATTCATACTGAGCCTATTTCTTACATTATTATGTTGCTATTTTCAATAAATACAATATTATATACTCGGCATAATTTGATTAGTATTAAATTACCGATAGCAACCAATGTAACGTGTTCAATAACAAATAATATATTAAAATACGGCCATTCATTTGAGTTTTTTACTTTTGAAATTTGACTTTGGAAGAAATGCGTTTTTTATACTAAAATGTTGTTTCATCAATCATGACTGACCATGATCAAGCACAGATATTTCATGAAGCCTTACAAGATTTTGTCCAAAAGTTTAGTACAGGGCCACAAGCTCCGGTTATTCAATTAACTGAAAAGGACACAAAATTGTTATTAGATCTATAATTTTTTTATGATTGATTTATAATTCTAAAATGTTCTTTAACCATTTGTACCAAGAAAATCAAAAAAGTTGGTCGAAATTTGTAGCCGCCTTGAAGCAAGTATTAATAGTTATTTATTCATATAATATGATACGTGTTAACTGACTGGCTGAAGACTGACAATTGTACAGAGAAATAGATAAGTTTATATAGTAATATGTAAATTAATAGATTGTAACAAACAACATAAAATAGGTTTAGAACGAGGATAACTAGTATTAACAACGTATTACAAAGTAGTTAACTACGCAGTTTGCAAATAGCCAGTCAAGGAAATAATAGGAAATAATATGGAACCTGAAAGTGTATGTCGTAATGACATACATAATAAATACATATTCATATAATAAGTAAGCGTGTGCTTACTACAGAATCTCCTTGAACATTTTTTACCATAAATTAAAAAGGGGTTCACAATTGAAAGAAATTAAGTTTAAACTCCTAATAATATAAATTATTTATAAAATCCACAAAAGCTTAAAAAAATTTTTCGTTTTAAAAAAAAATGATTTAATTATTTACAAAAATTGTACATTTAAATACATTTTTTTAAATATACAAAACCAATGAGGGGAAACGGTTGGTCACGTGACTTTTTCCCTTCAATTTTAATATACTTTTCAATAGAAGAAAATAAAATGTGTTAGAGCATAACAGTATTTTGTGGAGAAATCATGGAAGTATACAAGGAACGACTAAATATCGAGATAGCCGGTCTCGTGGAAAAGAAAAAATATACAAATTGAGTGACAAACGAGAGGAAAAAAGGAAATCACAAATTTAAAAAAAAGAAATTTAGAACAGAATATTCGCAAAGTAATATTTAGAGTAACGATGTCCATCTTTTGGCATGTGTCTTAGAAGAAAAATCATAAATTTATCTGGAAACATAGTGCATAGCGCCAAATCGGGTTTAAAAATCAATTCGATAATTGCAATATAGTAATAAATAATATACAGGGCATTCAACGTTTTTTTAATTTTTTATGTTTAGTAGGTACACGTCAGACGTCCTAAAAAGCGATAAAGAAAATATTTAAAACATTTTACCCGTTGGATTGGTCAGATATAATGTTAAGTTGTTACCTTTGATTTTGAACTGAAACAGCCGACTTTTAACATTTTGACTATATTTTATGAATTCTACCAGTGTGTGATATACTGTTTTCTTCACTTTTTCTAGTCTGGTTTCAATCTTGGCTAAATTATAATAATTAAAAATGAAAAATTACTCGTCATTTAATACCGAACACAATAGTTATAACATTTGCATATATGAAAAAATGTCTTCAGATTATTTAAAAATCATTTTCGCAGTAGAAACGACATTAATTCTGTGTATAACAAAAAAATTGTTATATAAACATGATGATTACCCACGTAGCAACTAGAAAAATAGTAGCCAATCGTTACAAATATCAAAGATTGAACAAAAAATGTATATTCACATAAGTTAGAGATCACAGCATAAAGCCAAGTGGGCCTGAAAAATTCCACGGAGCAGTACATGAACATACCTATAGTTTTATTAATTCTTATTAAACACAATTACATTTTTTTTATTATTAAAATAATATTGATAGGTTTATAATATGAATATAAAACGTTATGTTATTAGTATCACATAGGTGAATTACAACATTTTTTGTTGTTTTTGATGCTATTGGTTTTATATTGATTCTTTAAGACCTCCATAAAATAAGACCCTAAAAATACTATACAAT